CTTTTACTTTTCTGTATTTACTTTTACGCCAAGAGTCAATAGTATGCATTCTCATTCAACCTCAATTATTCTCTAGTTGGTAAGCATCATGTGGTGGGGAAAGATCTAGGCACATATGACCAGTCAAATATATTTGATCATGATTTATTATTGTTGACAATTATCTCTATGATAAATGAGTTGGGAGGCGAAACTTTAAGCCCCTGTCTTTCTCTGTGTTCGATGGATGCAATTTGTTCTAAGAATATGCTTTGAGTAGTAGCAATCAGGGAATACTATATGATGATTGAGTGTGTGGAGCTCTTACTTAGACTTTGTTGAATAAGTTGAATTGAAATTGTTTGGTGACTAAGAATATAGGTTGTTGAGTTTCAAGAGAATTCATTATTTGAACCTTAACATGTGAATTGGTTGCTACTTTAACATGAGAAGTTTTATGAGAAAGAATTGTTGTTATGATGCTAGGAAAAATGATTGAAATTATCATTGATCAAACGTGTGCACTTTGCTAGCATTCACACTTCATAAATTATTTATTTTATCATTTACCTACTAGAGGACGAGTAGGAATTAAGCTTGGGGATGCTGATACGTCTCCAACATATCTATAATTTATGAAGTATCCATGCCATGTTTATAATAATTTTATATGGTTTTGGTATGATTTGCATGGAACTAACCCGGACTGACGCTGTTTTCAGCAGAACTACCGTGGTGTTGTTTTTTGTGCAGAAATGAAAGCTCTCCAAATCAGCTGAAACTTTATGGAAGGACCAAAAGGTGAAGGAGTAGGGCACAAGACACCAGGGCATTCCTGATGGGCCCGGCTTGCCCCGGTGGGCTGTGCTCACCTTGAGGCCCATCTTCGCGTGAAACCGACGCCAAAAAATCCTATAAATAGAGAAACCATCAGAAGTAACCCTACATCAAAAGTTCCGCCGCCGCAAGCCTCTGTAGCCATGAAAAACCAATCTAGACCCTGTTCTGGCATCCAATCGAAGGGGAAAATCATCACCGGTGGCCATCTTCATCATCCCGGTGGCCACCATGATGAGGAGGGAGTAGTCCACCCTCGGAGCTGAGGGTTTGTACCAGTAGCTATATGTTTAATCTCTCTCTCTCTCTCTCTCTCTCTCGTGTTCTTGAGATGTCACGATCTTGATGTATCGCGGGCTTTGTTAATATAGTCAGATCATATGGTATTTTCCCCTCTCTATCTTGTTGTGATGAATTGAGTTTTCCTTTTGAGATTTTCTTCTTATTGGATTGAATACTTTTATGGATTTAAGAGAACTTGATATATGTCTTGCATATGAATACCCGTGGTAACAATGGGGTATTATATTGATTCACTTGAGATATGTTTTGGCACTCAACTCACGGATTCCCGAGGTGACATTGGGGTAATCTATGCATAGGGGTTGATGCACGTTCTCGTCTTTGTTTCTCCGGTAGAAATCTTGGGGCACTTTTTGAGGTTCTTTGTGATGGATTGAGTATTATGAATCTGAATTTGCTTTGGTGTTATTTTAGTACAAATTCTTGATAGATCGATCGAAAAGAATAACTTGGTGTTATTTCAGTACGAACTCTTGATAGATCGATCGGAAAGAATAACTTGGTGTTATTTTAGCACGAACTCTTGGATAGATCGATCGGAAAGAATAGCTACAAACAATTTCTTCTTATGTTCTCCGCTAGATAAGAACTTTGGAGTGATTCTTCATCGCACGTTGAGGGATGGTTATATGATCCAATTATATTAGCATTGTTGAGAGCTTGCACTAGCGAAAGTACGAAGCCTAGACCTCATTTTCAAGCATTGCAATACCATTTGTGCTCAGTTTTGTTACTTGCTACCTTGCTATTTTTTTATTGTTCCTATTACAAAAATCAATATCTACTATCATTACTACACTTTTATCACCATCTATTCGCCGAACTAGTGCACATATACAGTTTACCATTTGTATTTGGTGTGTTGGGGACACAGGAGACTTTTTTATTATTAGGTTGCAGGATTGTTTGAGAGAGACCATCTTCATCCTATGCCTCCCACGGATTGATAAATCTTAGGTCATCCACTTGAGGGAAATTTGCTACTATCCTACAAAACTCTGCGCTTCGAGGCCCAACACGAGTCTACAAGAACAAGTTGTGTAGTAGACATTAGCAGCGCTCGAAGTACATCGTCCATAGCATGTGGTTGTCGACGGCGTACCTCGGCTCGTTCCGCGGCGCCTCCGATAGTGGCGAAAAGATGTGGGCGATCTCGGCCCGCTGTTCAGCCCCGGCGGGCACCGGGGGTACCAGGACGCCACCGACGCTCAACTTCCATGAGCCCGACACCCGTATGTCTGGGGCGCCGGATAGTTGGCCTCGTAAAGGAGGCGCGCCTCGTCCTCATGGAGATCGCGTCGGCCGAAGCCGTTCGTCGCCGCGGCGTCGCCGGGGTACCGTTCTACCATTGCTCGTCGGCGTGGGAAGAGGGGGGAGAGTTGCTTCTGTGGTGAGACGAGGCGAGAGAGAAGGCGAGTTGTGGCGGCTGTGGCGTTCACTGGCGGGGAAGTCGACTTTTATAGCCGAAGCGGGGCGGTGAACCTGCATGCCGGGTGATGCATGGCGGGAGCGGGCGGGACGCGCGTCGCGACGCCTTCACTGCGCCGCTCGTGAGGCATCAATGGAGGCTGACCGGCGCAGCAGCCTTGGCATTGATTCCCGCGGGAACTGAGGCGATGAGGATGACGAAGCGGCGTGTCGCTGACTCGACGGGCCCAATCCCATTCGCGCCAAAAATCAGTTCCTCGGCGCCCCAAGCGCCCTCCAACGCGTTGTGTTCGGCATGAGTCTGCCGGCGCCAGTTTCGGCCCAAATCGGCGAAAAAGGGCTCCTGGGGCATGACTGGGCCAATTTTTGAGCGCCGACGCTAAAAAATGGCCTGGGGGAGGGGGTGGGGGCTGTTGGGGCACGGCTGGAGATGCTCTAAGAGCATGTATAGCGATGTCCACTCAGCCGTCTGTAACACCTGGCACATTTGATATTTTTCTACATGGAAGGGAGAGAGGGAGGAAAGAGCAAGAGGCTGTCAATTCGGCAGACCGTCGATATGCCAGAAATATCAGTAGTTGTTGATAGCCTATTCCTATTGTGCGCTCAATCGTTTGTAGCGAGTTGTTCCCTCTGCCTAATTATCGTATTTATTTTATCATCAACTAGGACATATGCCCGTGCGTTGTAACGAGAAAAATAAATTGGCGTGCATGTGCTAGCACGACAACCCATGCTTGGCTAGGCCAAAATGCGTACTAGCAACATGGCATCCAAACAATGACATGGAGTTGCCAAGGTTTAGACAAAAAAAATACATTCTCCGAACAATTTAGGCCTCTAGTTAATAATCGGTGCACGGCATCACACACAAAATTCTTGCTACTCTTTGTAGCCCTAAAATTCTTCCTTCCTTTAACTTTAAAAATACTCATAGTGTCATGCAACGTTTCCTTCCTTGAATGTTCCGACCCACACACACAATCCTTCCTAGTAAGTTCATTCTTTTAGCCCACACGTCCCTCTTTGCAGGGTGCACCACGTCCTAAATCCATCGTTTCTTTTATCATGAGTTTAATCGCCCTCTCATCCGTTGTCATCTTCCCTTTTTCTAGGTGTCTTGTTGATATTACAGCCAACTCCCTAACCTATATAAATGGGTGGGAATCGTCTTAAAGGAGCAAGGTAGGATTATTTCACATGAAATATTGATGTTTTGCAGCCTATTGGACTGGAGATTATGTTTTTCTCATGTGGCTCGCGGCCCAGAAAAGCCTAGCAACAATTGTTAGATGCTCAAATAGGCCCAGCAATTTGATTAAAAAAAGGCATGCAAGCAGCCTTTAGTACTGTTTAGAAAGGCAGGTAAGTCTGAAAGGAGAGGTCATTGTCTCAATAAGAAATTCTTTTAGAAATATGGGCTGTCTGCTTAGTTTCCTTAACACTTACGCTTAGTTTCCTTTGCACGTACATCACGTCACGGTTTCTTTTCGTTTGCACATGTATATTCGTCAAACAGAAAATGGACCTTACCAAAAACAAATTATTGTACATGAAAATACTTAGAACGGGACGAAACAAAGCGGAACCAAACCAAGAATACCTATTCCCTTTAATAGTAGGTATAGATATTTCCTATTTTGGGGGTACTATGGATAGCCAAAGAGACGACCTATTGTACAAGTTGGTATTATGAAAGTGCCCTTCTTAGCTCGAGCTCATATGAGCTCGGGTGAATAATAAAATTAAAAAAAAATCAAAACATTCTAATTTCTTTTTGGTCTTAAACCTTGACAAATATTTTCAGTGCTTGCAAAGTTCAATCACAGAAGTTCCAGGACTTCCTCGAATGTCATTCTGTGATGAAATTTTGCAAGCATTGATTTTTTTGTCAAAGTTACCACAAAAATTTCAAAGTTTTTAGAATTTATTTTTCATTTTTCAGATTTTACTGTTTACCACGGGAGCTCAGTTAATCCACGTCTCTGTTTTTATGGTTATCTACAACTTTTAAACATCAGTGCAGACACAAGCGCTCTGATGTGGAGGACTGCTATAGACTACGGGTATTTAAAGATATGTACATGCCCCACATGTCATGCAACCAAAGTTAGTGACGTAATAGTCCTTTCCACATGTACTACCATGTGTTCTTCACTAAAGTAGCACATTCCCGAGAAAGGAAGACAATGTCAGAAGTTCAGAATATATGATTTCCTGTAATTTTATTTTATTATGCTGCATGTTATTCATAATCCATTTGGGGTCTGGATATGCTACATGTTATTCAGACAACTATCCAATTCCTTTCTAGGTTTCCAAACTACCCCTTATTTAGTAGTATTAGTAGTCGTATTTAGTAGGTTTCCCATTTACGTGGACCATCTCATCAACATAAATACGTACGTACGCTTGTACTAGTAGCTACTAGTAGTAGCTGAGCTTGCATCCTCTTATCTCTTGTGGACCCTCACCTCGAGCCCGTCCTTCATGTGGAGTATGGGGGACAGCTTGGGCTTGGGCCTCGCCGCGGCGCCGGCAGCGACCTCCAACTGAAACCGCGGCACGACGGCGGCGACAACGGCCTTCATCTGCGCGTAGGCCAGGTCCTTGCCAAGGCACGTCCGGGGCCGCATATTGAACGCCACGAACTTGTGCGACGGCTCGTGCCGGAACCGCCCCTCCGCTGTCAGCCACCGCTCCGGCCGGAACTCCAGGCAGTCCTTGCCCCACACCGCCTCCATGCGTCCCATCGAGTAGAAGGGTATGATCACCACCCACGACGGCCCCACGGTCGCGCCGCTTGGGAGCGTGTCCGGCCGCGCGACCGACTTGTACTGGAACGGCAGGGGCGGGTACAGCCGGAGCGACTCCGAGAGCGCCAAGTGCAGGTAGACCAGGCGCGTCAGCTCGGCGGTCGTGCGGTGGTGGCCGGCCCCGGAGGCCGGAGGGTTCTCTAGCAGCTCGGCGAGGATCTTGGCCTCGACGTCGGGGTGGTTGGAGAGCAGCCAGAAAAACCATGAAAGGGCGGAGCTCGTCGTGTCGCGGCCGGCGAACACGAGGTTAAGCGTCGTGTCGCGCAAGAACCGGTCGAACTCGGCACCGACCTTGCCTACCTCGGCCTGACACGCCATGTACGACGTGAGCAGGTCGGTGCCGGCCTCGCAGGTGGAGTTGGCCGCGCGTTGTCGCCGGAGAGAGACCAACTCCGCGATAGACGCGTCGAGCACCCGCCGAGCCTTGGACATCTTCTGGCGGTGGCCGATATTTAGGTAGCTCTGCAGCTTTACCCACGGCACGGGCGTTACGTACCGGTAGACCAGCACCTCCTCGGTGTCGTCAATGGCCGCAGCGAAGGGGACGTGCGGGAAATCGGCGGCGAGGCAGCCGGGGTCGATGCCGAACACGAACATCGCCGTGAGGTCAAAGGTCAGGCGCATGAACACGTCCTGCAGGTCGACCGTTGTGCCCGACGTGGCGAGGCCGTCGAGGAGCGGCACGAGCCCCTCGTCGAGCTTGCGCGCGGTATTGGCGGCGACGGCAGCGCGGAACCCCGCGTCCGACAGCAACGCGTGCGCCTTGCGCCGCTGGAACGACCACGACTCGCCGTCGGCGTTGAAGATGCCGTCCCCGAGCACGCTGAACACCGTGTTATACCTTGCGCCTTTGGGGTAGTTATCGAAGTTGGCAGAGAGAACGTGCGCCACGTTCGCCGGGTCGGCCGTGACGAGGACGTCCACCGGCAAGCCCCACCGCCTCCTCATGACGTACGACATCCCGGCAGCGTGCAGGAGCTCCGTTAACCAATCGTGCATGCGCCCGGTGTTTACGCACAGCGCCGGCCAGCTCGTCGGCAACCCGTCCCACCGCCGGAACCTGAAGAACAAGAATAAGAAGCAAGCAAGAGATGCCATGATCTCCATGTTCCCGCCAAGGAAGCCTCGAACCCATGACACAACATCCATTTCTTCTTTCCCTAACCGGTGAAGTGTCTCTGTGAGGGGTTTTGATATAAACGAGCTAGCCAGGCCTATTTATAGGCTCCGCGTGAGGGGTTTGGGTTGGGTGCACCCACTTATGGTGCTACCGGTGCACTAACGAATGCCGTACAACATTTTTCAAAATCTGAAAATAATTCTACCACATTGACACAACATCAATGTATGTGGTCACAAAATTTCGTATCAAAATTTGAAACATTTCCTGAGATACAAAAATGATAAAATTGACATCAATGTGATAATGGGCGAAATCTACAGCCCAACTTATGTTACGTACTATTCAGTGCTAAATTTGTCATTTTTGTTTTAGGAGCTATGTTTCGAATTTCGACTTGAAATTTTGTGACAATCTACATTCATGTTGTGTGAATGTTCTAAATTTCTTTCAATTTTGTTTGAACATTTAAAATGTGCAACGTGAGTTCGGTGCACCAGATATTTCCCCTTAGCTCAAAACCGGTGTGCTCTCTGTCCGCACTTCGACGGTTTTTAAAATTTCAACTCCTGAACCGAAGTACAACAATATCATGAACCTAACATTGATTTTCAGTTTTAAGCAATTAATGATTCCCTAAAAATTGACATGAACAAATTTAACTACTTCGATTTTCCAAGATTAAGCACTACATCTTCATGTAATGCGATGACCCTTCATAAGACGAACTAAAACAACATATTCATAAAGAAAGTGGAATAACACACACACACACACAAACACACA